AATAAGCTGTGCATGAACAAGCTGAAAAGCATAAAATTAGAGAACGTAATCAAGACTCGTATGCAAATATTCAGGAAGAGCACTGCGGCAATTTCGCAAAACTAGGAACCTCAAAAGCAAAATACTATGGATATATTACTACAGATGAGGTCTCACCAAACCCCTGTACACATGTATGAAGACATGAAGGAAAAAAAAAAGTAAAACTTGCTAATGGCACATACTCATGGTCTGACTCATCTGGTGTATTTCAAAATGGAGATTCAGCAAAGTGCAGTAATTCAATTCCCAAGTACTACAAATATTTTCCCTCTAGGTCTCTCTTTCCATACTCCAACAGTCCATGTCTCTTCTTAATAGACTTCTTTAGCTGCATATTAATTTTCTGTACTTTTCTACACATACACCCACCTCCCCCAGTCTCTCAACACCTGATACAGAAATGATTGATTCAGCTTCCATCCTTCCTGCAATTAACAAGATCAGGATAAAAATACGATTTTACTTGCCTCCAGGGCCATTGCAAACTGATTGGCTCATATTGCAATACAGCAAAAAGCTGTTAACTCTTCTTAAATGGTGATGATAACCCTGAAGTTGAAAGATTGAAGGTTGCTTAAAAAACCGATTTTCACAATTTTTACTACTTATGATTTCTGTTTAATAAAATCATATCAATTTCCCAAAAAATGCGAATGCAAAGAATTTCACTTCGGAGCAGAAACATGACAATTTAATGCAGCAACCAATGACTTTCATTTATTTTCCATCTTTACCAGTGTATAGGAATAAAACATTCCTATATGTAATCAATTCTGAACTACTAGGATGGGTGATCAAACACTTTGTTCAAAGATATGGCTTAAGACAAAAAAAGGTCGTAAGGCAATTAGAGGATGCTAAAGACCCACCCATCAATGGTGGAGCAATTAGAATAAGGGACCTGGAAGGGGACAAAATTGGAGGACTGCAGAGTTCTTAAGGCTGTGCTGTAACAGATATTTCCACTATTAAGTGTAAGTTTCTCTTAAGTTATTGTGCCTGTATGATCAAAAAATTCAAAGGACCCACACAATTAAATGAATAAGTCACACAAGATAATTCAAGGAACCACTGATTGTAAGGCTAAAGGGAGTAAGAGATAATGGGTACATGAAGGGAAATGAAAGCAAAGACTACAAATTAAGATCAAAGTATTACCAGATTGGAAGTCATTGTAGGGCAACATAGCTGTGATGAGTGAACCAGACTTGGCACATGTCAGAAACATGCTCAGAGTTTTGAATGAGTTCAAGTTGATGGACTGTATAAACCATAATGCATGTTGTTCTCTTTGGGGCAAAAGAACTTGAGGGCTGATACAGGTGCACAATATTATGGGCACAATTGATATGGCAGACAAAGAAAAGCAATTATTAAAACACAAAGTGCTGAGAAAATCAGATCTGACAGCATCTGTAGAAAGCGAAACAGCTAACATTAAGCTCAAGGTGACTCATCTTCAGAACTCCAAAGACGAAAGCTGTTCCCATGAGCTGGTCGTACAAGAACCATTAGGGGATACAGATGAAAGGCTCTGAACAAAAACTAGAGGAACATAAAAAGATTTTTTTTTAAAAAAAACAGAGTTGTAATGATTTGGAAGTGAAAGCTGACAAGGGCAATGGAAGCAGAACCAACGATTTTAAAGGGAAATAGAGAATTGGAGCTTGAAAGAAATAAGAGATATGGAGGTAAGGGATTGGATACAAAGCTGCAATACACTCAAAGGCATAAATATCAATCTTCTGTGCAATTATGACTTGCATTCATAATGTCACCTCACTATTTAAGAAAGGAGTAAGTGAAGAAACAGGAAATGATACCTGTCACCCTTACATCTGAAGTAGGGGAAATGCCAGAATCAAATCATAAATGGGCATTTAGATAAAAATGATCTAATTGAGCATAGTCAACATAAATTTGCGTATGGAATTTTTTTGAGAAATTGAATTTTCAGAAGGTTTTTGATAAATACCCCCACAGGAGGTTGATTATCAAAATTAAAACATGTGGTCTGGAAGGTAATCTATTGGAATAGTTTAAGGATTGGCTAATAAACATAAAACACAGCTTAGGAATGACTGGGCCATTCTCGTATTGGCTTACTGGAGTACTACAAGGATCAGGTGGACCTCATCTGTTCATATTATTACCTGGCCACGTAATATTTTCAACGTAATTTTCCAAATGTGCAGGTGATATAAAGCCAAGCTGGAATATGTTATGAGGAAACTGTAAAAGATTTTCAGGAGGAACTGCACAAAGCTTCATAACTGAGCAAGAGCATGCAGATGGAATGTAATGTGGAAAAACAAGGGGTTGTCCACATTGATAAGAAAAAATATATGGGCAAAGTATTTCTGAAATGGTGAGAAGTTGGAAACGGTAGATGAGCAAATTGACCGAAGTGTCCTTGTCAATACTCACTGAAGGCTAACATGCAGATGCAGCATGCTATTAGAAAAGCTAATGGAACGTCAACCTAAATTACAAGAGGATTTGAGTACAGGAGTAGTGAAGTCTTGTTTCAATTGAATAGGATAAAATAAGAAAAAGAACTGCAGATGCTGGGATTCTGAAACAAAAACAGAAATTGGATAAATTGAGCAGGATGGCAGCATCTGTGGAGAAAAAGCAGAGTTTATGCTTCAAGTCTAGTGATCCTTCTTCAATTGTATAAGATCTTAGTTAGACTGCACCTGGAGTTTTGTGTGTAGTTTTGGTCTCCTTAACTAAAGGAGTATATCACTGCCATTGACAAAGTGCAAGAAGAGTACACCAGATTTGCTCTCAGGATGGCCAGACTGTCCTAACTGAGATTGGGCAACTTAATCTGTAGAGTTTTGAAGAATGAGAGAATCTCTCATTGAACCTTACAAAGTATTTAATAGGAATAGACAGGGTAGATGCAGGTAAAATGCTTCCTCATGGATGGGGTGTCCAGAACCATGAGGCATAACTTAAAAATGGGGGATCCATCTAGGGTCGAGGTGAGCAGAATTTTGTTTTACTCAGCAGACGGTGAACTTTTGGAATTCTCTAACACAGAGCTGCTCAGCCTTTGGGAGTATAGTGCAGGTTAATATATTTTTGATTATTAGCAAGTTAAAGAGTTATGAGGATAATCTAGGTAAAAAGCATTAAAGCACTCAATCAGCCATGATTATAGTAAATTGTGGAGCAAACCCAACAGGCTCAAAGTTCCTCCATTCCTTATGAGGAGTCCACCTGAAGGCATTAATACAAAACTTTGCTCTGAAACAAGTGAGGTTAGTCACGGCTGTAGTTAACAGCTGCAAAGTTCATAAACAGAATAATCATCTGGGAGTAGAATTTGAGTGCTACTCACAAAGACACATTTTGTTCAAGTATTTTATCTTATCCCTATCGCGAAATTCATAAACTCACATAAATCAGGAAAGGTGCCCAATCTACCTCAAATTGCCCTGTGGTATTTCATAAGAGTAGGCCTTTCAGCCCTCAAGCCTGTTCCACCATTTAATAATATCATGGCTGATCTGTGACCTAATTTCATGTTTGCGCCTTTGGCCCCTATCCCTTAATACCCTTTCTTAATAAAACAAAATCTGATTTAAATTTAACAATTGATCTAATCAACTGTCATTTGTGGAAAAGAGTTCCAAACATCTACTACCCAATGTATGTAGAAATATTTCTTAACATCTCTCCTGAATGGTCTGGCCCTAATTCTCAGACCATGCCCCCTAGTTCTAGAATCCCCAACCAGTGGAAATAGCTTAACTTTATCTATCTTTCTCTTAGATCCGATCACCCCTTAACTTTGCATATTCTAGAGAAAACACGCCTAACTTGTACTATTTCTCCTCACAACCCCTGATGTCCAGGTATCATTCTTGTAAACCTATGTTGTATTGTCTCCAAAGCCAATGTATTCTTCCTAAGGTGTGGTATCCAAATCTGTTCATTGTACTCCAAGTGGGGACCAACGAGAATACTGCATAGCTGTGGCATAATTTCTGCATCCTTACACTCCAGTCTTCTAGACATAAAGGCCAGCACTCCATTGATCATTTTCTGCACCTGTTCATGGCATTTTAAAGGTTCTTCAAAAATTTGAGCAACAGGTGAAGGTCTCTATCTCACACGGTCAATATAATGCTCGCCATATCAACAGGTTGTCATCAAGCCAATTAGATATTCTGCCTGTCTCACAAAGGAATAATGTAGTAAGTGAATTTCAGTGCTAGTGCATTGCCAGGTATATAAGGCCATATTGTCGTGAGTCTAGCAGATTGTATAAAACAGTATGTGCCTCCTGCGGTTTACAACTGGAAAAGCACTGGCTGCACCCAACCATCCCATAGTTGCAAAACTCAAAACCGAGAGTCCAAAATTAGATTCAATTGTACAACTGGGCAACATGTGCTAACTATTCCTGAGTGTGCGGGAAACAAAGCTGACAACCAACTCAAGCTTATCAGTCACATTTGCAGTGGTGCAATTGCACGTAATAGAAGTCCTGTTCGCTGCAGAAAGAAAGACGTGTACACGCATTGTGATCACTCAGCTTGACAGAACAGGCTGCACCCATTCTCTTATCCATTCCTTAGGGAAATGCCTTGACCAATTAGAATTAACCCACCTGGTTTAAAATTTAAATAAAGCTTGGTAATTAACTGTTAGTCCTCATTGAAATGGTTCATTCTCCATGGCAGGGCCTCTACCAATCAGAATCTACATGCCAATCAGTACTTTCTTCCCATACGGTATAAAATGTTGTTCCTCTTTGCATTGGTATTCTCATGAATTTCTTAATGAGTGCAAGATGAAAAGTTTTTTTAAAAATGTGGTGTTTTCAGCAATACCTTTTTCATAAATAATTCAATATCCTTTTGTTGTATATACATAAGATTTTTTTCATGTAGTATAATTCCGCATGTAAACCTTAATCTTGTTATTTGCCATAAAGTACTTACGACATTCCAGAAATTGTTTTAGCCTCTCAAACACGGTGTTCAGAAATTCCTATAAGAAAAACAAGGGGAAATAGACAGGAGAGAAAATACGATTAAAAATACTGATAAAAAAACAAAGCCAACAGGTTAGCAATAACAACCAGATCCTATTCATATCAGGGAACAGTTTTGAAACTACAATTTGGAAACCTTTCAAATGCTCCCTCGCAAGTGCTTTTACAAAACATCATCTGTTCACAATCATTCTTTTAAAAAGGTGTCTTTAAGCCATTCGTAAAATGTTTGCAAATAAAGTTCTGAAGTTATTTTAAAAATTCCATGAAATCTACTTAACTTTGAGTTCTTTAAATTCATAATTGAATTTCAATAAAATGGAAACCGTCTATTGGATTTATTGATTTGAATTCATTATTTTTCCAAATTCAACAATCATAAATAAACTTATTTAACTGCACAAACACCTATCACATTTATAATTGTGGCTGAAAGAAATAGTCATGAATAAACATGATAAATATTTTATGACACAAAACAAATCAAAAACAAAAATTAAACTCTTCAGAGAGACACATCACATCTCATGCCTAAATTGTTACAAACCTTGTGTCTTCTCCAAGGACAAGGAAGACTGCAAGCAGATATTGATTGGTAAGAGGGCACAATGAGCTAAACAGTATCAGATGGATTTAATGTCAGGAAATGCAAATTGGTACATTTTAGTTAAATATTTAAATATTAAATGCAAAATAATGTGGAACAACAGACAAACTTCAGAATACATATTCATAAGGCAACAAAAGGTACAGTTCAAATGGAAAGATACATTAAAAACCAATAGAATACTGGTTTCATGAGAAGCAGTGCAGTACATAAAAGCTGAGATGCAGTGATGAAGCCATTTGATACCGTTACAAGTTCACATTTGTGGACTGCTGAATCAAGTATTAGCAATATATTTTTGGGTAATTAGTGGATAAGCACTTAACTTTACTTAAGTCATTTCAATGCTGAGCCTACATAAGGTCCACTCTAATAATAGTCAGTGAGAGAACACAGTAAATCAGACTGCAACATCGGGATTTCCTCATTTAACTGAATATATATGTCATTGGGAAGTTATTATTCAATTTACCCCATAACGGTAAATACTGGCAGCCTCATTGTTTTTATCAATACAGTCCAGATCAATACATTCACCAAGACAAAAATGAAGACACTCAAGGATGAGAAGCAGTGCAGGAAGGAATTACCAAGATGCTTTCACCTGAGAATAAATGTGAGCAGTGATAAGTTTTAAGGATAAATAAACTTGTAAATTGCATGAGAAAGTAAATCAGGAAATTTCTTTCCAAATAAATAGCAAGAATTAGACCAAAGCAAAAACAAGTTCAAATGTGATTTGTGGAATCTGGGAGTGCTTTGGTCAGACAATACAAGAAAAGCTCTGAAATTATTTAACAACCATCTCAATTTTACAATCGAGAGACTTTCAGGTCATTCTGAAAAGCAGAACTAAGATGGATTGGATAGCCTTCCTCATGCATAGTTATCCTGTTAACAGTTTTCTCAAGAAATCATTAGCATAGGTTCAAAACTGACCAAATCAATAAGGAATGAAAACAGATTTTTGTCACATAATATTTTTAATTTGTTTAAGATGTGGAGATATTGGCAAGATATTTATTGTGCATTCCTAGTTGCTCCTTAAAATCACTAGTGCCTGGGGAATGGTGAAACAATTTACAGAAATCCACAAAATTCAACAGAAAACACAGTGAAAGAACAATGACCTAAACAGGATGGTATAAGACGCAGAAACATAGAAAACAACAGTAATAGATCATTCAGCCCATTAAGTCCACTCCACTATTCAACATGATCTTGGCTGATTCTCTCTCTCGACGCCATACTCCTACTCTCTCAACATCATCCTCATCTCAATCCGAAATAGCTTACACTATATTCTGAAAGCATGGCTGAAGTCATACCTGTCACAAAGGAAGATGGTTATGATTGTTGGAGGTCAGTCACCTCAGCTCCAGGACATCTCTGACAGAGTTCCTCAGGGAAGTGTCCCATCATCAACCATTTTTAACAGCATCATCAATGACTTTCCATCCGTTGTAAGGTCAGAAGTGGGGATATTCACCCATGGCTGCATAATGTTTCGCACCATTCACAAATCCGCAGGTACTGAGACAGTCCATGTTCAAATACATACATACCTGGACAATACCCAGGTTTGGGCTGACAAGTGGCAGGTAACATTTACACCACAAAAATGCCAGGCAATGACCATCTCCAATAAAAGACAATCTAATCACCACCCCTTGACATTCAATGGTGTGGGGACTTATCACTAACCAGAAACTCAACTGGAGTCATCACATAAACACAGTGGCTACCAGGGCAGCTCAGAGGCTAGGAATACAGTGACAAGTAACTCACCCCCTGACTCCCCAAAATCTATCCATCATATACAAGGCACAAGTCAGAAGTGTGATGGAATACTCCCAACTTGCTTGGATGAGTGCAGCTCCAACAACACTCAAGCAGCTTGACATCATCCAGGAAAAACCACCTCACTTGACTGCACCATCTCAACTCCCTCCATCACTGACACTCAGTAGCAGTGAGCATTTACAAGAAAAACTGCAGAAATTTACCCAAGATCCTCAGAACCAAACCCATGACCATTTCCACCTTGAAGAACAAGGGCAGCAGATACATGAGAACACACCATCTACACATTCCCATTCCAAGCCACTCATTATCCTGACTTGAAATATATTGCCGTTCTTCACTGTTGTTGGGTCAAAATCCTGGAAATTCTTCCCTGAAGGCATTGTGGGTTAACCTACAGCAGGTGGACTGTAGCAGTTCAAGGCAGCAGCTTACCACCATCTTCTCGAAGGTAACTAGGGGTGGGCAATAAGTTGTGGCCAGCCAGCGACACCCATATCCCAGGAGTGAATACAAAAACAAATAACCCTTGGTTCCGGACCTCCATCCTCAGCCAGAGGAAAGATCATCCCTACATCCAGTCTGCCATGCACAGTTAAATTTGTTAATGTTTCAATGAGATTAAACTGATGATGTTTCCTGACTGTAGTGCTCTTGTATGAATTGGCAGTGGAATTCTCAGAAAAGGAGAGCCTGTTGTCTGATGCCAAGCTGTGGCGTTGTTCCAAGACTTCTCATAGATCAATATGATCTAGTCCATTAATACAGAAATCGTGAATGGAATAATTTTTAGAATTGTCAACATTGATCCTTACTCCATTCCTCACAAAGGGAATGTGATGAAACAAGTCTGGGTAAAAGGACCTGACATCTCTAATAATTTCCTGCAGTAACATCCTGCGGTTGTAAAGTTTGTACTATAAACATTACCAAAATCTTATCACGTGTTTGACCTGACTAAGCCACTGGAAGAATTTGTCCTTCATCCCCATTTTTATCATCAAACTGTAACAAAAATAATTATATTGTTTTGATGAATAACTCCCTCTCCTCTACTCCAGTTTTGTTTATTGTATTTGTATCTGAATCAAGACCATATCAAGATCAAGAGTAACTGGTTTTGGTGGAATCCGAACTAACTTTTGCTGAGCAAATGGTGGATCAGTATCACTTAAGCCATCCTTCCATCATTCCATTGATGATAGAGAAAACGTTAATAAGTCAGTAATTGCCAAGTTCATTTTTTTCTTTGTTAAAAATGTATATGACATACTTGGACAAATTTCCCCATCACAAGACCATAGCACGTAGGAGCTGGATTAGGCCATTCAGTCCATCAAGTGTACTCTGCTATTCAAATATAGCTGATATGTTTCTCAAATTCAAATTCATTCTCCTGTCTTCTCCCATAACCTTTGATCCCCTTACTAATCAAGAACCTCTCTTTCTCCGCCTTAAATACACTCAATGACTTGGCCTCCATACCCTTCTGTGGTAATGAGCTTCACAGACTCACCACCCTTTAGTTGAAGAAATTCCTCCCCATCCAGCACACACCAATGTCGCAGTTATAATGCAACAGACTTTAATCTATGGGTAGCAATAAACTCTGATGTACAGCTCTTCAGGGAACAGTTCAAACATTGTTTCTTTGCCTTGATGCTTTTATCTACTTCTTTCATACTTTGACTTTTGTGTACCCAAGTGGCTACGTATCCCTATCCCTTTTAAAGTTTTACATTTTGCATATACTGTGCCTGAATATGGACATTAAAAACTAAATGTAAATATTCAAAGATCAACAGGATACCTAGCCAAGAGACTTAAGCACCATTTGTCTCAAAACTGATATTGGAAATGAAAGTTTGAGAATAGAATACTTTTAGGACTTTGATATGGCTCTTTTTAATCCACAGAATTAAATAAAAAAACATCTATTTTTCCACTGGATTTTTCAAGACAACAATCAGGCTTCAAGGATCGACCAGCTGGGCCCCACACACTATTTTAAAAGCATGATTTAAAGGGGTCATGCAGCTATTAGCGCCTGGTTAGAGTTCCACATCAACCACTGCCTTTGATCTTGCGACACCAACATTTCAGCTGGTGGCTCCTATGAGGGTTCACAACCTCCAGGTTGAGAACAAAAACAAATTTGCTGGCAAAGCTCAGCAGGTCTGGCAGCATCTATGAAGGGAAAAACAGGGTTAACGTTTTGGGTCCGGTGACTCTTCCTCAGAACTCAACTGTTTTTTCCTTCACAGATGCTGCCAGACCTGCTGAGCTTTTCCAGCAACTTGGTTTTTGTTCCTGATTTACAGCATTTGTAGTTCTTTTGGTTTCTCCAGTTTGGGAAAATTGGGTGTGGACATATCAAAACAAATGCTTATTTTCTGTATGGATAATTGGTTTCTGACTTGAAAACAAGTATTACCACAACAACACTCAAAACTCTGGCTCAACTTCCATTTCCAAAGATTTATTTATTATGCAATGCATGACATCAATGAGTACTATTTGTTGGCAACACATGAGAAAACTGGAAGATATGAAACTGTTTTCGGAATTGAGAAGGGTTTATTATTT